CCCTTGCCCGAAACATACTTCTGTGGCTCCTCAAAGATGCCGTGAGGGCCATCAGACTTCAGCCATTTCAAGTTCGGCAGGTACATATTGTCGTCCCATGCCTTCTGCCAGCCTTCGGCGACATCAGCGGCATCATGAGATGTAGCAGCAGTAGCAGCAGCAGACGATGTGTATGGCACCGCCGAAATCAGTTTATCCATGGAAGTCACAGACGTGTCAACTGGCACTTGTGAGTCGTGGAGAACATTTTCTGAAAATAATAAATGGAGAAAATTATCATAGTAGGTATGACAGATCTGAAAAAGTAACCAGTTTTCATCTCGAACAATCTTTTTCATTCTTTTAGGCTATACAACATTTTTGTATTTCTTTACTTTGAATTTTTTCTCAGGTAAATGTGTCAAAATGAGATTCGTCATGTACACATTTACTGTATTTGTTACAATTTTCAATTCTTGTAGTCTCGATACTGAACCACTTGAATAAATTTAATGTGCTACCTACCAAGTTTGACATTCAAATTCAATTTACAGAGTACAACTTACCAGCAATGGCCAAGAGTTCAGCATCCAGCATTCAGCATATTGCTCTGGCACTTCATCTTTTGCTCTTTTCTTCAAATCAAGCCACTGAAAAAGAAAAGAAAATATATATCAATGTAAATGTGGCCTATGTTATCTGTCTGTCTGTCTGTCTGTCTGTCTGTCTGTCTGTCTGTCTTGTCTTTCGTTCTGCCTTTCATCAGCAAAGCTAGTTATGTGAGGAAAAAAACTTACTAGTCGACTTAGTAGTCAATGTGTAAATGGATATTTCTCTGTGATTACAACTCGGATTAATTAAATTTTACACTCGTTGTAATGGCAACATATTGCTGTTATAAAGCGCGTCAGGGATTGTTATTAAGTGCCGTATTTTATTAGTTATGCCTCTTTATTCGCTAAAATTTTCAATTTTAACACAACTGGATTTTTAAGCAGTTTTTTTCATTTTTCTCGAGAAATATGAAACTTGAAGAAGAATCCTGATGCGCTATTTTTGTTCATATTGTGCTTAACATGCGGCGATAATTTTGTATCATCACTCTTTCTGGTAGTTGAGAAATATCCAAAATACCATTTTTACATAAAAATTCAAAATTTGTGTAGTACCATAATTGTGCTGGAAATTTCATGAAATTTTTATATTGCCGTAAGCCACAGAATACCCCAGCTAATATATGTCAGAATATTGCCGTAAGCCGCAGAATACCCCAGCTAATTATATATCAGAATATCCAAGGCTTGTATCAGATGAATTAGGGGTTAATGGAGATTTATTGTGTATGCAAAGTTGTCATTTTTATCTGTGTATTTGTGATACCTGTGTAAACGTGTTGCTGTGTAATGTATAAATTGACTTCATTATTGTGTTTGTGTGTGAATTTAAAGCTTGTAATATCTATGTGTTGCAGTCTACCATGTCTACATGAGTAGAGCATGACTACATGAGTAGAGAATAAAATGGCTGGTATGAACTGCAGCCTGAGTCTTCTTCTTCTTCCTCGTCTCTGCGGGCGCACATCACAGTAGAAAAACGCTGCACTGAAATCTACCTTCCCTCTCGCCCTGATCAACCGGACTTAGGCATGTTCTACGTTTCAAGATGGCCGAAGCAAAAGCAGAACGGACAAAGGCGAAACGTGCCCTGACGAAAGAACTCAATTATGTAGCGTTGAATATCGTATCGTAGACAGTAGACGTAAGAGTTGTATAAACGGTAAACAACTATAGGTTTATTCTAGAACTCGAATAGACAACAGTGTATACACATACCAGCGATGGTCCTGGACTCTCTCGTTTCTCCCAAAACCCCTCTTTTAAGCCGTGCGCGCGTACGTCGCGCGCTACAGATTTCCTGATTTGTGGCCCGGCTAGTGATTACAAGGACAGGTTGGGACGAACGTTTCATTGTTGGGGTTCAATGCTCTCCTTGACCAGTTGTCGGACTGTCATAAAGTGTCGCTTACTGAGTGCCCGTTTGACAACTTTGGCCCTGTTCTAGGGTCGGGCGAGAGAACCGGCCGCACCTCTATTAATGCTTCACTCCGCTATGCCGTCCGTGACGTTAATTGATATGTCCCTTCTAAATATGTCGTACGCCATCCGTCGTACGTCCCTGAACGGTCGTATGTGCCACCGTTCCCACGGTACCACATTTCTGCATTACATTTCACCCTGCCCCAAAAATTTAAGCCAGTCTCCTGACTGGAGAAAGTTTTTTTGTTTTTTTTTGTTACCGACAAAAGACTTGCTGTACTATCGTCGTGATAGGTTTTGCTTGCAATTGTAACCGTTTAAGTGTATAATCTTACCCGAGTGCTTCTCGTAACCGCCACCGCGTAACATGAAAACTAATAACATACAATTCAAATACAATTCGACTCAATTGGATTCCAATACAATTCAAATACCATTTAACTCGATTCGATTCAATGACAATATAATTCAAATACAATTTTAACTCAATTCAATTGAATGACAATATAATCCAAATACAATCTAATATATATTTGAGTTCGTATGTATCTATGTATGTATGTATGTATGTATGTATGTATGTATGTATGTATGTATGTATGTATGTATGTATGTATGTATGTATGTATGTATCTTCCGTATA